GTTGAGTCTGCCTTCGGCTCGGGTCATGATCCCGGGGTCCTGGGATCCGAGTCCTGCATCGGGCTCCCTGCTCAGTGAGGAACCTGCTTTTCCCTCTCCCTCTGCCTGCCGCTCTCCCTGCTTGTGCGCTCTCTCTGACAAATAAATAAATAAAATCTTAAAAAAAAAAAGACTAGGACTCCCCTTGTAGGGGTTTTGTCAAGATTACAGAAACTAAGACACGTGAAGTACCTAGAACGGTGCCCAGCATGTAGTCAGTGCTCAATATCGTCTTGTTACTTGTCTCTCTTCTCCTCGAGGAATACGACCATACCTTTATCTTTGCGCCACTAATTCTTAGCAGTGGGTTTGGCATAGAATACTAGGTGCTTAGTAAGTTTTTGTGTGAATAAACCAGGTTTCTAAATCAGATTAAGTTCATGTTCAGTGCTTTCATATGTGGATAGCCCTTTTATCATCTCACTTATTCCTGTGTACTGCTCCATGTGGCTAAGAAGGAAGGTTCTAGAGCCTGATCACCTAGTTTGTATCATTGCTTTGCCACTTATTAGCTTATTTACCTATCAGTGCCTCAGCTTCCTCAACTGGAAAATGAGAAAAAAATATAAGAAGTTCAACAGAGTTACTGAATGCTCAAGTGTTAACTATGCTTACTATTAATCTTATTGTTAAGTACATGATTTAATGAACACCCATGATGTTTTGGGGACTGTGCTAGACTGTAGAGAGGCAGAGAGGAATAAAGCTTGGTCCCTGCTCTCAGAAAACCCATAGGCTAGTGCGGGGAGCAAATGTGAGCAAGTCAGCATGTACAGAGGCTAGTGAGGAACAGACCAACTCTATAAGAGGGATCAGTGAGGGGAAAAGGGAGGGTAGTAAAGTTTATATAGAAGGTACATCCTGAGCTTTGCCTCTGTGGGTTGAGGGTCCTGGGATATTAATGTCTTAAATAGATGTGACAAGCCCTTTTGTGGTCCGTCAGAAATGAGTTTTATTACAGATTTCCTTAACAAGACCCCTTCCCAAGAGTCCCCATCCTGTATTTTGAAACCCAGAGAAGCCATATCTGGGTCAACAATGATGTATCGTCAGGCCTACCCAAGGGCACCAAACATGGTTTTGACGTTTTCCTTGAGCAAAACTCCTCTTTCCTTTTTGTAGTTAAGCCAGAGAACTTTCACAGGCCGAAGACTGCTTTAGAGGTGCCTCTGTCCTGCCCTTTCACACTCTCTCCCAGTGAACTTTCTGAAAAGGTTGGCATTTAGGTTCTTCCCTTTCTCACCCCAACAATCGGGTGAGAGGGAATGTAAAGAGTGGTATGTTTTCTACGAAAAGGCCAGGACCCCTTTCTAGCTCACGCTTGTAATAGAGACCTCTCAGAGACCACCGCATGGGAGCCATATTTAAATTATTGAGATCAAGGGCAGGGTGCTGGTGGATGAAAACCTTTACGCCTCTGTCTCTTAGAAAATCAATAAAGCCATTGAAGCTTGTCCATTTCCCCCAAGTAGTTAATGAGAACAATAGAATTTAGAGTTCCTGGTGTTCCTCTGGAGCTGATTTTGGCAGGTGATAAGCAGCTTGTAAAAGGGCTTATTATTTGAGCAGAGCTTTGACTGCCTGACTTTTAAAGTTGATTATTTATTTTGCATGTTGTATAACAGAGCATTGGGCAATGCTCACAAGAGGCCTTCTGGGTCAGAGAGTAGGGACTTTTCTGGCCGTCTCCTCCCAACAGAACCAGATTCTAGCTGCGGAGCGAGGGGCAAGCTTACAGATGAGGCCCAGGCCACGGCTTTTGTATAGCCCCTAGCCACCAGACAGGCCTTCTCATTCAACAGGGGCTGAATACATCCAAGTTTTCATTAAGTCCTAGGTCAAGGAAAAAATGTGCACGTGTAATTTCTCCAACGTATGCTGATGATGCGACCTGCCTTTGAAAGAAATGCTTTTAAAGACCATATTTTGGTCATCTGTTATCAGCGGTCATACATGGGGTCCCTGTCATCTCAGGGAGTAGATGTTCTGAAAGGTAGGGCTTTCCGCGGGTTTTATGGTGAAAAATAGTCAAGAGGTCTTCCCTCCTTTGTGAAGAGTGCCAAACCAAAATTGTCCCCGACTCTTTCGGTTCCAGCTTTAAAGCATTGTGCCTTCTAACCTAGGTGGTCTACGAGATCTCGACATTTTTTTTTTAAAGATTTTATGTATTTATTTGACAGAGAGAGACACAGCGAGAGAGGGAACACAAGCAGGGGGAGTGGGAGAGGGAGAAGCAGGCTCCCCACTGAGCAGGGAGCCCAGTGCGGGGCTTGATCCCAGGACCCTGGGACCATGACCTGGACCATGACCTGAGCCAAAGGCAGACGTTTAACGACTGAGCCACCCAGGCGCCCCAATGAGATCTCAACATTTTAGAAACAGTGAATGAGGGAAGTTGCTTTGCTTTCTATTTTAAACTTTAAAAGTGGATTGAGCCAGGTCCCTCAAGGAATTGAGATGGTCTTGATAGAGAGAAACTTGGTTGTGTCTCCTTTTTCACTTTTCTCTTGTTTGGTTTTGATGGCAACCTGAATTTGTGAGGAAGTTCTGATGTAGAGGCTCTAAGTCAGCTTTGTGTCCAGTGATGGAAGGAAAATGGGAAGTAGGGAGGCGATGGGTGCCTAGGAAGAGAGTTCATGAGCTACTGAATGAATTTTGGATGTCTTATGCTATTTTGGAGACACGTGTCTTGGGAGAGGCAGACTTTACACTTGAAGTTACTGTTTTGGGACGAACCATCCTCCCTCAGAGATAACATTTTGTTGAAGAACGTCTTGGGAAATATGAAATCTGATCATCCTTGTAGAGTTCGTGGGTGTGACCAGGTTAATTTCTTGCGCTAAGGTCTCTAATATTCTGGATGGGCCCCTGCTTTGGCTCCTGTATTAGTCACGATAGGCTAGCCTCTGAGGCAGGAACACATAAACAGCACAGGTTTATTTGTTGCTCGCATAAATAAAGTTTGAGGCAGACCGGTTGGCCCTTTCCTGTCATGTGGCAATGCCATCCGGAACACATGAACTCGAAGGGCACCATGGCTGAGAAGAAGACAGCTGAAAGCCCACGTGCCTTCATTGCCTCATCCCAGAAGGGACGCACCTCACTTCTGCACGCATTTCAGTGACAGGAACCAATCGGCTCGCCCCAACCTAACTGCAAGGGAGATGGGGATATGGAGAGGGGCACCTGCTACATATGGCAGCTACACACGGCCTCTGCTGCATTCCCTGGGATCCAGCTGACCATTAACTTCCCATCCCACTCAGGGAATGTAGGAGTGATGCTGACGTTCTCATTCTGTAACAGACCGGACTGCGATCACCAAACCCCCTCTTCTGTGTGCCAGAGTGCTCGTTTCCTCCAGGGAGAGGAGACAGGACATGCATACACCCCTGTTTGTCACTTACCGTCCTTTTCCCCCCTCGTCACTCACCATGAAACCCCCACTCTCCCTTCTGCTTCTGTCCCTAAGAGTCAAGCTCCATGTAAACATGAGAGTTGCTTCCAGGTCAAACACCTTTGTCACTCCTCCCAGGTTCTGGTTCTGCCTGGAGCTGTGGGAGCAGTTGGATAAGAAAGTGCCAGAGTTGCTCTTTGTGAAGTTGATCTCCCAAGGCCCGGGCAGGCCGTCCATGTCTGCTGTGGTCCTAATGCCTCAGGGTTGACTCAGCTTAAGTTAATTTATGGTGAGTGCTCTGACAAGATCGGGTGAGCAGTACTCTCCGCCGCGCCCACCGCCCCATGTCCAGGAGTATCACTGGGAGAGGGAAGGTGGAGCCATTTCCAGATTTCTCGCTGGAAGTGGAGACCAAATTCCCAGAAGGACCTGAGAGGTAAAAAGTGGTTGGTTGTTCCTGACGTGATTCAGTGTTTACCTGAACCATAACCACTGGAGTATACTAGAGTGTGTGTGTATGTGTGTGTATTTATATATATATATATATAATATATATATTTATGTACGTTATACATACATATATAAATCCTATGGTACTTGGTGGGTAGGGTTGCCGAGCCCTTACAACAATTTACTTCTGTTGTTTTCCCTTTGAATCTCAGGCATGAGCAAATTAAGGCAGTCATTTTGCTCTTAGGGCCTTTAGTGTCTTGCACAGGAAAGGAGTGGGTGGACTCAGTGTAGATGAACCCAAGGAGCGCAGATCAGCCAGACCCGAGCTCGGCTTCTGCGCCTCTGGCGTAGGTACCCTTCTGAAGGGTAAGCCCTGAACCAGCTGTAAGTAAGCTATGCAGAGTGGCTGGCTGGCTGATGAGCAGGTTGGTGAAGAAGGGTGGGAGGGGCAGAAATGTAAGGAGGTGGGGTTCAGGAAGGACTGTATCTCAAGGAGGTGATGATGATCCGTTTTCACTTTCCCTCTTTGGCTTCATTGCTATACTCTGTGTGGGTCTCATTTTCTTGAATCGGGGCGAGACTCAGCCAGATGTCAGTTCATAAATATAAATCACATCTGCTTTATAGAATCACTGTCAAACTCATTATGGTTCAAAGATTTCTAAGATCCGCGTACAGCAGTCACTTGGGTTGGAGTTTCCCATTTAAATTTATTTCACACAATTCAGCCTTATGTCCTTTATAATGTGTTCTTAATTGTGTCTCAGTTATTTTAGCTGGCACTGCTTTAAAAAGTTCCTTTATGTAATCTTTATTTTT